AAAGCAAACACTCACCCAGAGCCTCAGGAGTCGACAAAATCGTATCGCCACCAGCCGAGGCCAGTTCAGACTCACTAACTGTTGGTGAATCTGAGGAGTACAAAACAGCCCTTGCTTTTCCACCCGGGTCAGCAGGCGGTTTTACAGGATTAAAACCTCATCACATCAAGCAAATTATGAATCCTGTGGTAGGTGATCTGCACAAGATCTTCTTTTGGAACTCACAAGGTTCGTCACTGCGTACCTGGCTAGTGGTATATATAAGGCCATCAGGCCTCTCTTTTTTGGAGCCTCCCTTTGCGCTCTCATCAAGAAGGGTTAGGGAATCAGGCCAATCGCTGTTGGCAACACTCTCCGACGCCTGGTTGCCAAGGCTGCCACGAGGATTGTCATCCAGCAAGTGGCTAAATTGCTGTAACAAATTCAGCTAGAATTTGGGATCCCCCAGGGCTGTGAGGCGGCTGCTCATGCAGCAAGAGCATACATCACCAACATTTCTGAGGAAAAGGCGCTGCTTAAACTGGACTTTAAGATTGTCTTTAACGTAGGTCAGAAGAGATGCAGTGCTCTGTTCCGTACATCCCCATTTCCGGCCCCACTACCCGTTCATACTATCTTGCTACAGTGGTGAATCAAAATTTTTCTTTGGCGAACACGAAATCAGATCATATGAGGGTGTTCAGCAAGGTGATCCCCTAGCTCTTCTTCTTTTTCGCTTAGTCTTAAAAGAAATACCTGAAAGCTTGTCCAGCGAGTTCAACATCTGGTTTTTGAATGATGGCAATATAGCTAGCCCTCTAAAGCACCTCTTGGAAGACATCAGAAAAATAAAGGGGCAAGAAGTAAGCCTGGGTCTCTTCCTGAACCCTTCCAAGTGTGAAGTAGTCTCCTCCAAAACAGACATCATAGATAGAATAAGGTCTGCCTTGCCCGGAGCCCATGTCTTTAGGGGTTTGAACAGTGATCTCCTTGGAGCTTCCCTCGGGTCTAACTTGATCCTTGATAAGAAAATCACAGACCTCAAGAGGATGGAAAACAAAATAAATGATATTGATCCTCACCACGATGCTTTATATCTCCTCACTAAATGCCTATCCCTTCCGAGGCTAATCTACTTTCTGAGGTGCGCCCCATCCCACAACAGCCCAAAGTTTGTAGAGTATGACTTATTACTGAAGACCATGCTAAAAAAACTTGTCAACTTCTCCCTCAATGAATGCCAGTGGAAACAATCCACTCTTCCTGTCAGGCTCGGTGGTTTGGGTATCCACACTGCCACCCAACTGCTGTCCTAGCCTTCCTGTCTTCCTCCTCAGCATCAGATGACCTGGTTAAGGAAATTTTACCTGACAACCTGTGTTACTCAGCTGGGATACAGAACTACCACTACACGGAATGTGACACAAAATGGGGTACCATGGCAGACCCAGCACTCAGACCAACCATGTTGAAAGCCGAGAAGCAATCCAGCTGGGAAAAAGACAAAGACTTGTAGACAAAGAAGCCATGGCTCTGCTGGAGGCAGCAATAACCCCCAGTGATCGTGCACGCCTCATATCTGTGCAGGCTCCCCATGCAGGGGAGGCTTCCTTTTGGCAGTCCCTATGTCTGTGACAGACATACGTCTTGATCCACAGCAGCTCCGTATTGCAATCGTTCTCCGCCTTGCTGCCCCTATCCACACTGTTCATAGGTGTATTTGCGGCAAGGCAGAGGCAGACGAATACGGATTGCATGGCCTTCACTGTGGAAAATCTGGCGGTTGGCATTCTAGACACGACGAATTCAATGACATCATTAAAAGAAGCCTTGTTTCTGCCCAGTGATCAGCAGACAGCCCCGCAATCTATTTAACCTCAACTTTGCTATCTTTGCTGGCCGATCAGATGGAATCCGAATACGCCCTTGGAAGGGTGGCAAACAGGTGGCATGGGACAACACTTGCGTATCCACCCTGGCAACCACATACATTGACCTCTCTGTCGACCAAGCTGGAACAGCAACGACACACAGAGAAAGAGACAAGTTAACCAAGTACAGGGAAGTAGATCACCGGCACAACTTCGTTCCAATAGGATCTGAGACTCTAGGTCCATGGGGAGAAAACGCAAGAAGGCTTCTTAAGGATCATGGTTCCAGGCTCATTGACACTACCAGTGACCTTAGAGCAGCAAGTTTTCTCTTCCAGCGCCTCAGTGTAGCGATTCAGAGGGGGAATGTTTGCTGCATTCATCGCATTCGAGCAGAATACTGTGTTGAGTTTCACGTACGAGATGGAGAATGATGGGAAGCTTCCTTTTCTAGATGTAACAGTCACGGAAAGGAACGGAGGCTTCCACACTGCAGTCTACACTAAGGAAACAAACATAGGAATGTGCCTCAATGCGAATAGTGACTGCCTAGACAGGTACAAGACGAGTGATGTCAACGCTTATGTCGACCGGGCTCTCAGCTACAGCTTAGGATGGAAACAAGTTGCTGAAGAACTCTGTAGGGTAAGGCAGGTCCTAGTCAACAATGGCTTCTCTAACGTTTATGTTGAAGACGTCATAAAAAAAAAGGTGAAACGCCATGCAACATCCAAAGAGTCAACTAATACAACACTTGTACCCCCTATTAGACTGTTTTACAGGAACTTCTTTTCGACGGTTCATAAAACGGAGGAAAGGGTCCTGAAAGACATTATTGATAGAAACGTTATCCTACAGAAAAAATCAGACAATACAATTGACAATCTAGTACAAAAACAAAAAAACGGCCAACCTACTCATGAAAAACACCAAACAGAATGCCTTGAAGGAAACCAACGTCGTCTATGCCCTCACATGCCCGCTTGGGGACTGTAAGCCCCAAAGAACTCAGTATATAGGCAAGACAACAACGTCTCTTCCTAGGCAATTAACTATGCACAAACGTCAGGGCTCCATCAAGGAACATATAATCTCTTCTCACAACCAGACCATCACCAGAGAAATCTCAATAAGCAACACAGAAATCATCGATAAATACAGCAATAGCAGGAGACTCGACATCAGCGAGGCACTACACATCAAAAAGTCAACACCAGCCAACTAATGCACAACTATGTTCTACCCTACTTCAAGACCCCAAACCAATATGGAAGCAGCAAGAGGAAGTATGGACCAATAGACCTTCTGCATAAATCATAAGTCAAATGTACTTGCATAAACCACAAGTCAAAGGTAAACAAACAATGGGCACCAATCCCTGCAAGAGACTTGAACCCAGAAAGCCCAGGTGTTTGCGCACCTGAACATAACCGATACGTTCACCAGTACACCACGCATATCCTCAAAGAGAGACCGAAACTACGGAGTTTATCCGCAACAACTCGATCTCCCTAAGGACACCAGCAGTGGTAAGAGGTCAGAATACATTTTTCATCAAGCAATTGCATTACCAGGGAGAACTCGGGCCACATATTCACGGATGTACTTGCACAAACAACAAGTCAAAAGTAAACACGCAATGGACACCAACTCCTGCAAGAGACTCGAATCCAGAAAGCACAGGTGTTTGCGCACCTGTGTAAGAGAAAAGAGTAAGAGAAAGTCAATGTATTGTTCGTGATAAGAGAGTAGTCTGTCAAGTTGTCTAATAAAGTTTTTCAGTAGGCATAGAGGTCAAGAATGTTGGCACTTTCATAAAGAGTTTCGCTGGTATTGAAATCATCCCATCGAGTGTTGAGTACCCCATCTAAGTGCTCTGCCCTGTATTCTCTGAAAATTTACTTTATTAGTGGGTGAGGATAATGAAAGAGCTATTGGAGCGCATGTCTAATGAGTGTTTCATTAAGTTGCATTTTAGTATCAGGTTTTGCACATCTTAGTCTGTATAATTTGTTCATGACCTGGAGAGCTGTTGTATGTTTCTGTGTAATATGTGTGTGAAAGAGTAGTGGTCGATCAAGTGTGAGGCCAAGAACTGTGGTGAAAGGAGATGCAAAGATGTTAGTAGGATTAGGAGTGAGTGAATAGGAGTAGGGCATATAGTTCTTTTACAGATTTTTTTTTTATTTGTTGAACAAATCCAACAAATTTTATTTGTTTGGTTTTAATGCGCCAGTCATATTCTCATTCTGTGACAGTATCGAGTTCTGCTTGTGCTCTGCGTGATAGTGTGTCAATGGTGTTGCTGGTGACAAGGCGAGACATATTATCAGCGTAGCATATGGTTAATGAAGTGTGATGAACAGGGTCAGGCATGTTGTTGATGTATTGGGTGTAGTGTTGGGGCAAGAACAGAGCCTTGGGGAACACCAGCATGTAAGTTGCAGTAGTCAGAGTGTTGTCGGAGGAATTTGATTCTCATTGTCATATAACACAGCGCGATTTTCGGGTTAAATACTCATGTGGAAGAGGTAAAGTTGTGTAGGGGTGAGGTGAAGGGTCGAAGGAGTATTGGGGCAATCAAACTTAGGGTAATGAATTGGGGAATGAAGACTACCAAACATTGGGTAAAACAGGCTTGGAGAATTCGGCAGGGATGTCGTTGTTATCCGATGCTATTTGGTGAGATTTGGATCTGAGTGTAGGCAAAGTAGCGAAGTCGTTATTCAGGCTAATGGGTGCTACCTTCCCCATTACTCCCTTATACCCCTTAAGTTTGATTATCCTTCTAATTCTTCGATTTACATCTCACCCTGTTTTATGCTTCAGTATTTTTTTTAATAATTTTCTTTTAATTAATTAAATTGTAATTCAAAATTCACCATGAGTCCTTATGGTCTGATTAATTAATTAAATTAAATAATTAATTTAACTTTGACAAAGTAGATGAAAGTCACGTACAGTACTTTGTACAGACTTAGCCGCAGCCAGGTTAACGCTACGGGATCCTCCAAAGTTCGTTTTTTTATTTTCATGTAAATGAACCTTTGCATTTACAAGTTATATTTCTACTCCTGATAAATTGCATCATGTGATGAGTGAAAGTGGTGTGTATTTTCTGACTCCAGCTATTATTTTCCCATCTAACAGGAGGATCGGGTTTGTCTTCAGGTCTGGGCGGATACGGTTCGGATGCGGGTATTGTGGGTAGCGAGAAAGCAGCAGTGATCAGCGGCTGTGTGGGTGGCCTCCTGCTGGTGGTGGTCCTCGTCGCCACCTACTGTTACTGCCTTCCGTCTACACTAAAGCGGCGACTCAACAGGCGACGCCAGCCCCCCGAGGACTCAGAGAAGGCAGCAACAAGCCTCGTCAACGGGGGTAGCGTCGTCGTGAGATCCTCATCCAGGGGCAGCGTCCTCGCCAACCAGGACCCGGAGACCTCGCACCAGGACACTACTGACCTGGCAGATACACCTCCGGAGGAGAGAAGAGCCATTAGTAAGTCTCCCGAGCCACAGCCTCCTCCCTGTGAGGTGATGCGAGTTGAGCAGGTCTCTCCTCCCGCTGCCAGGCGGGACGGAGACGGGGAGGAACTCGTGGGACGTCGGGGACTCTCAATGTCCATCCCAGACGTGACCAAAGTAGAACGCAGCTCCCGGGAGGCTGAGGAGCGCCCCAGTGTGCCCAGCGTGCCTACCCCACAGTTCTACACGCTGGGACGCCACACTCGCACCACCAATCGCAGCCCTCTCCGTGGCCCTAACGGTCACATCTACGGCTCCACCGACCTAAGTTACCAGCAGCAGCAGCAACAGCAGCAGCAGCTTCCCGTCAGGTACAGCTCTGTGGGCGCCCCGCAGTACTACAGCGTCGTCCGTCCACACCACGTGCCCGTGTCGCAGGAACCTTACAGCGACGACGACGCACAGTACTCGGACCAGCTGCTGTGCGACGACCGTGGGGCCTCGCCGCCACCGCCCGCGCCCGCAGATCACGCCCACGCCTACAGCGACCTGCACAGGCATTCAGCTGCCCTCTTGTAGGATGCCGGCTGGAACACATCCCACTAACAAAGGATATCATGTTTTCAAAATGCTCAGTAGGGGAGGACATGCGAAGTGTTGTCTGGAAAGCAATGGCATGATTCGTACGACAATCATAGAAAATATCACTTCATTTGACATATCAGTTTAAACAAAATCCTTCATATCAAGAAACAAAAGAAATAAAAAACTTACTTTTCTTACTTAGTAGCTATGATGATACTCTGAATTAAATTGTATTAGCAAAAATTATGTGAAATATTTAACTACTTATTTTTTAACTTTCTTTTTTAACATTATTAGAAGTTACCTTATATTACATGAGGCCCATGACGGGACTTTCCAAGCCGCTTTGACTGACTGTAACAATTATCAGGTAATCCAAAGTCCGTGCGGGTATATCAGTTGATTCGATTTGCTTCTCGATTGTCAGTTCATTGTGGTCTGTAGGCATCTACGACTCTCGGCAAATCATATTAGCTACTCCTGGTTTGTGCTCGACTGTCAGCTGATAAAGGTCTGCTTGACTGTCAGCTGATCAAGGTCTACGCTCGACTGTCAGCTGATCAAGGTCTGCTCGACTTGTCAGCTGATCAAGGTCTGTGCTCGACTGTAAGCTGATCAAGGTCTGTGCTCGACTATCAGCTGATCAAGGTCTGTGCTCGAAAGTCAGCGTATCATTGCATGAGTTGACTACCGGCTGATTATAAAATGTGGTAGACTATCAGCTGATCTAGGTCTGTGCTCGAATGTCAGGTGATCGTGGCTTGAGTTATCAGGTGATCATGGTCTCTCTGGACTGCAGTTTTTTCTGGCATGAGCTCGACTTTCAGCTGATTCCCTTTACGAACTAAGTTGCCGGCCAATCAGATAATCTTGGACGTATCCAGCCTTGTGATAAACTTATTTATCTACCTCCCCCCTTTCTCTCTACGATGTATAAATATTTATTTTTTAAACCCCATACCGTCAGTTATCAACCATGGCTTTCGGGTTTCAGGTTACAAATGTAACTCAAATTGGTTTAAATTTGTGGAAAATCTGAAGTATTTCATTAAAAATTAAGGGGACTTAAAAGACATAGTGTATCTCAAAGTGTTAGTGAGCGAGAGTGTCTGTGTAAGTGTGTGTGTGTGTGTGTGTGTGTGTGTGTGTGTGTGCGCTTGCTTGCTTGCGTGCGTGTGTACTCACCTAGTTGTGCTTATGTTTCAGCTCTCTGGTCCCGCCTCTCATCCGTCAATCAACAGGTGTACAGGTTCCTGAGCCTATTAGGCTCTATGATATCTACATTTAAAACTGTGTATGGAGTCTGCCTCCACCACATCACTTCCTAATGCATTCCGTTTATTAACTACTCTGACACTACAAAAATTATTTCTAATGTCTTTATGGCTCATTTGTGCACTCAATTTCCACCTGTGTCCCCGAGTACGCGTGCCCCTTGTGTTAAATAGACTGTCTTTATCTACCCTATCAATTCCTTTGAGAATCTTGTTTGTGATGATCATGTCCCCCCTAACTCTCCGTCTTTCAGCGACGTGAAGTTTAATTCCCGTAGTCTCTCCTCATAGCTCATGCTCCTCAGTTCGTGCATTAGTCTGGTTGCAAACCTCTGAGCCTTCTCCAATTTAGTTTTATGCTTGACGAGATGTGGACTCCATGCTGGCGTTGCATTCTCCAGGATTGGCCTGACATACGTGGTGTACAATGTTCTGAATGTGCGTATGTGTGTGTGTGCGTACTCACTTATTTGAGCCTGCATGATCGAGCATTGGCTTTTGGATCCCGCCTTTTTTGCCGCCCGTTGTTTAAAGCAATTCCTATTTCCCATATCCCTTTCCTATTTCGCAATCATATCTAGTTTTAAAACTATGACTAGAGTTTGCTTCCACAACCTGCTCCTTTAGTTCATTCCATTTTCCCACTACTCTCATGCTAAAAGACAACTGTATACCATCTCTATGAATCATCTGAGTTTCCAGCTTCCACACATGTCCGCTTGTTATGTTAGTGATCCTTGTGACATTTCGTCTATTTCCACTCATTCAATCTCCCTAAGTATTTCATATATTGCTATCATGTCTCCCCACTCCCTCTTTTTTTTCTAGCGTATTCAGGTTCAGTTCGTTCAGTCGCTCTTCATATCCCATCTCGCGCAACTCTGGGACGAGATTCGTCGCATATTTCTAAACCTTTTCCAGTTTCCTTATGTGTCTCTTCAGGTGTTGGGGAGGGGGCTCAATGATGGGGCTAGAAACTCTAAGACTGGTTTCCCGTAGGCAGTGTAGAGCGCTCTAAATGCCTCCTAACATAGGTATCTGACTGGCGTTCAGACTTTGGCTAACGTAGAGTTCGCTGCTGTCGTTATCCGTTTTATATTTGCCTCAAGAGTTTGATTGGTGTTACGTCTACTCACAGGTCTCTTTCTCTAATCGTCATAGATAGGTAGTTCTGTGTGTGTTTACAAGTTGTGTTTACTAGTTGTGTTTTTGCGGGGGTTGAGCTTTGCTCTTTCGGCCCGCCTCTCAACTGTCAATCAACTGTTTTACTAACTAACTACTAACTTACTAACTACTTTTTTTTTTTTCCACACCACACACACACACACCCCAGGAAGCAGCCCGTGATAGCTGACTAACTCCCAGGTACCTATTAACTGCTAGGTAACAGGGGCACTTAGGGTGAAAGAAACTTTGCCCATTTGTTTCTGCCTCGTGCGGGAATCGAACCCGCGCCACAGAATTACGAGTCCTGCGCGCTATCCACCAGGCTACGAGGCCCCCTGTGTGTGTGTGTTCGTGTGTATGTGTGTGTGTATATATGTGTGTGTATATATATGTGTGTGTATATGTATGTGTGTGTATATGTGTGTGTGTGTGCATGTGTGTGTGTGTGTGTGTGTGTGTGTGTGTGTGTGTGTGTGTGTGTGTGTGTGTGTGTGTGTGTGTGTGTGTGTGTGTGTGTACTCTCCTAGTTGTACTCAATTAGTTGTGCTTGCTAGGGTTGAGTTTTGGCTCTTTGGTCCCATCTTCTGCGTGTATGTGTGTGTGTGTGTATGATTACTCACCTATGTGTATGCACCTATTTGTTCCAGCAGGATCGATCGCTGGCTCTTGGATCCCGCCTTCGGTTGTTTAAAGCAATGACTCCTCTCCTACGTCTCTTTCATTCCTAGTTTTAAGCTATGACTAGTATTTGTTTCCACAATGTGCTCCTTTAATTCATTCAAATTCCCACTACTGTCACGCTAAAAGAAAACTTTCTATCATCTCTGTGATTCATTTGAATGTCCAGCTTCCACCCATGTCCCCTTGATCTTTTGGTATTCCGTGTGAACAATTCATCTATTTCTACTCTGTCAATCCCCCTAAATATTTTGTATTCTGCTATCATATCTCGCCGCTCCCTCTTCTTTTCTAACGTCGTCACGTTCAGTTTCCTCAGTCGCTCTCCATATCTCATCTCATGCAAGTCTGGTACTAGCCTCGTCGCAATTTTTTTAACTTTTTCAGTTTTCGAATGTGTTGGTGAGGCCTAATGATGGGCTGTAAGCTCTAAAGCTGGTCTCACGTAGGCAGCGTAAAGTGTTCTGAATGCCTCTTAACTTAGATTTCTGAATGCCGTTCAAACTTTTGCTAGCTTAGAATACGCTGCTGTCGTTATCCAATGTATATGTGCCACTGGAGTTTGATTTGGTGTTACGTCTACTCCCAGGTCCCTTTCTCGAATCGTCACTGGAAGGTAGTTTCCCTTCATTGTATACTGGCCCTTTAGTCTCCTATCACCTAGTCCCTTTTCCATAACTTTTCACTTTCTCGTGTTGAACTCTAGTAGCCGTTTCTCTGACCATCTCCAGAGCTTGTTTAAGTCCTCTTGGAGTATCCTTGAATCTTTATCTGTCACAACTCGTCTCATGAATTTCGCGTCATCCGCAAGCATCGGCATATAGGACTCAACTCCTGTAGACATGTCGTTCACGTATATTAGAAACAGAACTGGTCCCAGCACCGATCTTTGAGGTACTCCACTCGTTACGGTTTGCCAGTCTGACTTCTCGCCCCTGACTGTTACTCTCTGGCTCCTGCCTGTTAAGTAATTCTTTACCCAAGCTAGGGCTTTTCTGCTTACTCCCGCCTGCCTCTCAAGTTTGAATAGCGGTCTCGTGTGCGGTACAGTATCATAGGTTTTTTGGCAGTCCAGAAATATGCAGTCTGCCCTTGCTTCTCTGTCCTGCCTTATTATTGTTACTTTATCATAGAATTCCAGGTTTCTAGGGCATGTTATCTCTTCTCTGAATCCATGTTGGTATTTGTTTACATACCTAGTGTTCGCTAGGTGTGTAACAAGTCTTATCCTGATGAATCTTTCAAGTACTTTACAGGGGATGCTTGTCAGTGATACTGGTCTGTAGTTAAGTGCCTCTTCTCCATCTCCTTTTTTGAAAATTGGTACCATATTTGCCTTCTATCATCAACTGGACAACTCCCTTTGTAAGTGACTCATTAAAAATCTTTCCCAGAAGCTCGCTGAGGGTCTGCGATGCCTCTTTAAGTTTCCACGGTGATACATTGTCTGGTCCAATGGCTTTACTTTCATCAATGCTTTTAATCTCATCTTACGTTATTAGCTGTTTCATTACCTCCTCTGCTGTCACTTCTATATACGTTAGTCTCTTATCTTGGGTCATCTCTTCTAATAATTGGAGCTGCTCTGGCTCGGTTATGAACACTCCTTGAAAACTGGCATTCAGTACCTCGCAGATTTCCTTTTCGCTTTCTGTATATGCCCCCTCTGTTTTCCCGAGTCTTTTCACTTGGTTGTTCACTGACATTTTCCTTCTTATATGACTATGTAGTAATTTAAATTGTTTTTTCGCTTTCATTGAAATATCGTTTTCATAATTCCTTTCCGATACTTTCCTTATATTAATGTATTCATTCCTAGCTCTGTTACATCTAATATTATTGTCCTCTGTGTTTTTTTTCCACACCCTCCTGCTTCTCATTTTTGCTTCCTGGCACGGTCTATTAAACCACGGGTTTTTATAGTCCCTCCTACGTTTTTCTATTACTGTTGATATAAAACTCTCTTCGGCCTCCTTGCATTTCCACTTGACTAGGTCCATCATATCTTGCACTGTTTTTCCTCTTAGTTCTTTTTCCCACGGCACTTCTCCCAGATATTATCTTATCCTCATGTAATCCCCTTTCCTATAGTTTACTTTCCTTTTCCAGACCTTTTGCTCCGTGGTCACAATTTTAAGCTCGATCATATAGCCAAAGACTAGGACACAGTGGTCACTGGCTCCTAGTGGTATTACTTGTTCTGTATACGTAATGTCTTCCTCATTCTTGGTAAAATTCAAGTCTAATAAGCTTTGTGTATCCCCTCCTCTTTCACTTGTGTCTTTCTTCACATGCTGTGTTAGAAAATCCCGGTCTATAACTTTCTCTAATATTCTTCTAAACGTTTCTGTCCCACCATGGGGGTTACTTGATTCTAAAACGATCTCTCCATGATTGAGGTCGCCCATGACCAACAGTTTCGCTCTCATTATGTGAGCTGGTGCTGCAGCGCTCTGCAACTCATCTATACATGTTGTTATCATCATATTTTTGTCTGGGCCTTCTACTCTTTGGCGGGGAGGGGGGGGGATTGTATATGATGAAGATCACAATCCTCTTCCCATCACTTGTCAGAATCCCAAGTATGGAGCTTGAGTTTCCATTAGTCCCCAGATTCTCTAGTTCTATGAGGAGTGCCACTCCCCCTCCCTGTCTCTGTGTCCATTTTATTTTATCACTTGGTATCCCTCTGGGAAGATTGCATCCGAGATCTAATAATTTATTTTAGTTTCCACTATTGAAATTATGCCTGAATTTTCTTCACTAACTCTTTCTTTCATTTCCTCTGCTTTATTGGATACCCTATCAGCATTGGTGTACCAAACATTGAGACTCTTCTTGGAAACTCTGTTACCAGAGTTCATATAGCTGATCTGCCTACCTGTCTCATATAGCTGATCTGCCTACCTGTCTCCATCTGTGTGTGTTGCAAGTGAGAGATGGATGCATTCCTATCTCCAATAAGTGGTTGTGTGGTGGGAAGTGCCCAGGAAGAGGGAAGGGGATGAGAGAATTAGGGGATCTGGGAG